GCTATTGCAGTTTTTGCAGCTCACATCTCGAACCATGTGGCGGCCAGTGAGCATGACCCGATCTTGAACTTCACTGTACTGCAAGTTAACTACCTAAAGAAAAAAATATACATACACACACAAAAACCCTTGTAAAGTCATGTAAGTTAGCCGACAACTATGACGATAAGCAAATGTATACACAATTAAATATTACAGAGCTGTGCATGCCCATGATCTCAGTGTGGAGAGGCCGAGCCAGGAGGATCATGAGCTTGAGAGCAGCCTCACTACAAAATGAGACCCTGCCTCAAAACAACAAACCGCCAAGCAAGTGTAGAAGTGTAGTTAGTTACACTCATGATAGCCACCCAGGGCTGGTTTTAAGAGATGCAGAGATAGGCTTGTGCCCCTAGGCCTTTAATCCTAGTATTTGGGAGGCAGAAGCAAGAAAGAAAGGCTTCAAGGTCAGCTTCACCCACATAGGTCAGTTTCAGGCCAGCCTGAGCTGAGACTCTTGTCTGAAATCCTATCCGACAACATACATCCAAAAAAAAAAAAAGAGGGAAAAAGAGAAAGGAAGGAAGGAAGGAAGGAAGGAAGGAAGGAAGGAAGGAAGGAAGGAAGGAAGGAAGGAAGGAAGGAAGGGTATGCTTCTGAGACAGAAAAATCTGGAAACTGCACTGTACTGGGTATCTAAATCGGGAACTTTTTAAAAGAGTTTTTTTTTTTTCCCCTATGGATGAGTGTTTTACCCACATATATGCATGCGTGTCTAGTGCCTGTGGAGGTCAGAAGGCAGTGGATCCCCTAGAACTAGAGTTACAGATGGTTGTAAATGCAGTCTGCTGCAAGAGCAACTAGGGCTCTTAACTGCTGAGCAATATTTCCAGCCCCCAATCTAATTCAATCTAAGTACTACACAAGTCCTAGTCTCGCCATTTATATATGGTAGCTCTATTTCTGGTTGTAGTGAAGAAAAAGGTCTGGAATTGAAGGTGTGGGATATAAGTTTGAATCCAGTTGTTAATTCACTCTGTAGTGATGAATGTTAGACAATCAAAGAACCTATTACAACAGTGTTCCATGAAGTATTATATTTGTTTCTGAAAACATACATATATACACAAACAGGTTGGGATAGGCTAACCTACTACAAGCTATTCAATGCAACACATTAATTTTCAAGGAAGTGCAAAGATAATGAATAATGAATTGGATTCTAAAATAATCTGGAGAATTTCCAATCATTCTAAATACCCAACAATCCTCTAAGCTTTACTTTCCTCTAAAAGATTAATAGTAAATAATTTTGGCTTTAAAGGTTATACAGTCTTAATTCCAGCTATTTAGCCTTGACACTTTAACACAAAAACAAGAGACTATTTAAGTAAATGAGTAAGCAAGACTGAAGACTGTTTACAGTTAACAGGCAGCTCGCCTGCCAGTGTCAACCCCTCCTCTGTAAAAGGAACACACTACTGACTCTCCGAGAGAATATTCTTCACTCACGGAACAGAGGAACAAATTCTAGCGAAAAGTTAACCTGACCTACTGAAAACACTCACTTAAGACAAGATTAGATCTGTTTTTTTTTAGCCTAAAAGATGTGAAAATTCAACTTTTCTAGGCTCCAGGGTACACAATCACATCAACTAATCTCAAAACAGGTTCAAAATTTCAAAACTAAGCAAACTAGACACACATTTGCAAATCTGCAAATGCTTTTCCTTTTGGTACACCCAAAGAAGCCAGATGACAATCAGAAGGCTGGCTGACAATCATTAATTATACAGTAAGAGAAGGCAGCTAGATTCACTTCCAACAAGTAAGCTGTAACAGCTAGCTCCGTAATGGATCAGTGACACAGAAGGGAGAGAAGATGGGTATGTTCGCCTCTTTTCTCCAAATTCTGTGAGTAATAAATCTTTACACTGAACATTTCCCAAAGAGTCAGAGACCCATCCTTCATTGTTGTTTTGGGACAGGGTCTCACTGTGTGGCTGAAGCTGGTCCAACTGGTCTATAACTCACTGTGTCTTCGGTTGTTCTCCAATTTGTGGCAATCTTCCTGCTTCAGCTTTCCAAGTACCGGGATATTAGACAGATGCTACAACACCCTGTCTCTCTTCTTCTAACTCTTTATTTAGGCTTTATAAAAATAAATACATAAATAAACTCATGTACCAGTAATGTAACCCTAAAATCCCAGAGACACGCTAATAGGCAGCCACTTCCGTAGGTTTCAGCCACCATTCTGATATTTCCTGGTATCTGTAAACCCTTGAGGGACTAGTCTAGTGTTGCTGTCAAATACATCCACTGAAGATATGTAAGAATGAAGCTTTTTTTTTTTTTTTTACCAACCTTGTTAAAAAGAAACGCTCTACCAGTGGCGCCTGTGAACCGAGTAGAGATGAGTTCTGAGCGGTTGGTAAGGATCGTATCACAGTTTGCACATGAAAACAGACGGGTACCGCCGATATGATC